TGTGTGTGTGTGTGTGTGTGTGTGTGTGTGTGTGTGTGTGTGTGTGTGTGTGTGTGTGTTAGTGTGTGTGTTGTGTGTGTGTTTGTGTGTGCGTTTGTGTGTGTGCGTTTGTTCATAGATAAAATGACGCTTGATGCGTGCGATATATATGAATTTGTATAGACAAACTTACGCTTTACGCTACTACTGGGTGCTGTCATAGCAGCAACTCTAGCACACCAGTATGGGACTAATTAAAGTGCAGCCATGTGATGCTTTTGATAAATATAAAATTTTCATATCTCTCCGGTAGGAATTTGAACTTCCATTTTTTTAAATTTGATCCCAGATTTGGCGCGCAATTTGAAATTCCACAATACAGTCCCATATTTAGTTATTTATTTACATAGCGTCAAGACTCGTGACATATGTATTCATGAGTCATAGCCACATAGCATAGCCAGGTGATAGCCAGCTATTAGAGAGAGCCAAACAACAATAAGCTTTGATTTTGGTTTCATAGTAGGGTTCACGACTTCAGGGTATCGGCATGGCCTATACTTATTTTAGGGAGGAGGTTTATGGTATCGGCCTATTGCATACAAGCCAAACATCCATAGCCCCCTCTAATTTGACAAATTTAAGAGGGCTATGCCTATCGGGTACATAACGTATCTCATACTCTCAGTCTCTACTATATGTATGGGTATCTACCAAATGGAAGCATATAGCAGCCTAAATAAATTGAAACATATTAGAAGACTACGAGAGGAAACATTTAAAAAAAATTGACAGTAAAGCGATACAAAGGATAGCCCGTATCATATTCCCGAAGGTCATGGAAAAGCCTCTTTCACTAATGACAGGCACAGAAGCGTAGCCATAAACCGAAGCTCAGTGGATGGATACTAGGAATCTTGCCTGTGAAGATTACAGATTGAAGATTTGTGGATAGATGCGATGAGCAGGTGTAACGAATGCGTTTGGATAACCACAGCAGTGCCGTTATCTACAATACTTCTCGAGAGACTGTCGATACAAGTGGAATAATGATACATCATGATACATAGGCTTGATTACGCAGCTTTAAGCACACCCACGCATAGTATTGCGAGCCAAATAAGCACACCCAGATACACTCCAATTTAATAAAGGTGACACATACTATTCACGTGCATGTAAATGTACACGTTCAACTCGATTCGCAAACTTTATTTGCGCTTATACCTACTGTGGAGATATGACGGGGAAAAACCAATCATAGTCTACTTTTATTTTCATATAGTAAAGTCGCTAGTTGTTTAATTTATTATTTAGTTGTGTTCCTTATTTAGTTTTACTCGTAGAGGTTGGTCTGCATAGTGCATACTCACGACTGCCAGAGTGCAGCATTTCTCGGCGTGCTCCCTTCTCCTAAACCGAGCACTGGAATACCAAGCGGGGCCAAAGGTATGTACTCCAGACCTGAATTGGGGGCGATGCAAATCGTTCGCATCATTAAGGTTTCGCAAACAACGGATTCGAACCCTAACGTTCAAGAGACCGCAAGAAGTAAGAGTATAATTCAACATATAACACATAACAAGCAGCAGATAAAGGGCAAATCAATCAACATTAGAGTGAAGTAACGTACCATTAAAGCAGCATAAACCAACGCCTGCAAGGCTAGACTGGTCATATCCCGTGTACCGTCCTCGTACTCGGTCAATTGCTTCCCAGCCTTATCTAACGCAACCACTGTAATCAGCCCCACTAGACATAGATGCAGAGGCATTGGAGGGTTTTCCACACAGTCCAGTGGATTGAAGGCCTCTAACAGGTGACTGACAGCGAGACCTAGAATATCAAGTAGCAAATGATTTGATGGTGAGTATTTGCATTAACGTCCCAGCCAGATTATCTATATTCAAAACACATACGAATGTAGCGCGAACTGAGAATACACAGACCAAGTATCAAAGTGAACTAAAGTACATCGTAAATACCGAGTGAGAATCCAGCCCCGCTGACGCCTTCGTATACCATGGCCAATTTCACTCGTCCGTTGATGTCGGCTGTGGAACATGACAACTAAAAGTAAGTGACCTTCAACAGTGTAGAGAGTTGAATATGGTATGACGACTACAAGTACGGCAAGTGTGGAACTTAACTCGAAAACGCATCGAGCATGTCTCTGTTCGAATAAAAAACAACGGAAGTCGAATCTGAAAGATTGATATCGGAGATTCAGAAACAGTCCACACACACGACCAACTTGCCTGCTAGTTTGATCACTCCCGTGAATGCGACTAGGGCCCAGGTGATGAGTATTGTTGCCTCAATGAACGATCCACGTTGGCCGGACTTCAAAACATAATGTTCATTCAGGATATCCGTCGCCAGCAAGACGGTGCCTAAAATACAGCCGCCGACTACGTCATGCAGAAAGTGGGCACCTTCGGCAGTAATTGTTTGTAGATGAGAATGTTTTCTTGCTATTGGGGTTGATTAGTGTGTGCGTGTTTCTCAAACGACATTCAATTCAGGTAGAGGCAAGCTGGAAGCTGGGCACAAGCCGCGGTTACCCATTCGAAAGTGGGTCGGATAGCTTCAAGATATAAAATTCAAATTTACAAACCTGAAATAAAGAGTGTAAGACACTCTGGTGATTAGCTTACCTGTGTACACCCTAGAGTAGGCTACTAAGATAGTCATCACGGCCCATAATGTGAAAGTGAATACTCCACCAACATGCCAAGCTAGAATACCCCAAACCACGTATAATCCCATCACATGGCCACTTGGGAACCCATACGACGTCTCCAATGTTGGGTCTAGAGTTTTGATCTGGTTTAAAATCGTGTGCACGTGATGTATTAATAAAAAATATGGAGAGAAAAATCTTTGTTGAGGATGTATGGCTGATTATATCACTCTATGCGCAAAACGCGTCATTTGTGAGGTTTTCCAACGAAAATCACACACCTTGTCATCCATCCAGTAGGGACGTGGGCCTTTAAGATAAGCCTTTGCCAATCCATTGACGCAGAGCATCTCGGAAGCGACGAAGGATAGCCTCCACCCGATATCACCAGCTGAAGTGGGTCGCACACCATCGTGAATTTACCGCAGTAGTTAGAAATCAAGGCGAGAAAAAAACGCCGAAATGTCTTGATACGAAAACGATAATCCATTATAAGCTTGATAATAAGTTTTTCACGATACAACGCTAACGTCATCAGGTATAAATAGTACCGAAATGCGTGCCCAACAATCGTGAATAGAAAATTACTATAAAAAAAGCACAGTCATTACAAACTGGAAAGCAAATCGCCCAATGCAACTTGCGCGTGACAAATATAGCTAAGCAAACGAGAAAAAAATACTTACGCATCATCCATCTGGCGTAGATGTTCATGAGGAGGGTGACAAGTCCACTACCGACCATGGAAAACAGTGGTACACCAGAAAGTGGGTAGTGCGTCTGTAAGGTTTTAATAAGATCGCCTAGAATAATAATAAAAACAGGAAAGATAGTACGAAAACTTTATTTCAATTCTCCATCCGCGAACTTGAGTTAAGATCTCGTTTTCTAAATTATATTACACAAATTTGTATACAACGACGTGCAATTATCACCATCAGTGTGAAATTGCAACTAAATCAAATCGTTGGGCGCGGCCAGTACTTACGATACACATAGAAAACCAATCAATGAGTGTAATCTATTAATGTGACCATGTTTGTCATCTGAAAGTCATCAATAACAGACTCCTACAATAATAACCAAACGATGCAAAAAAAATACTTATATGATGTGAAAAATACATACAAACATGCATACATACATGCATACATACATATATACATACATAAATACATACGTATACACGTACACATATAAATCTAAATATACGCATATATATATATATATACATATACATATATATATATATATATATATATATATAAATATATATATATATATATATATAATATATATATGTGTGTGTGTCTGTCTGTATGTGAG